ATCAGTGCACTCTGCGGGCAGTCTCTCTCACCTCTCATCCATTCCACGCAGTTGGTGAGGCTCGTTACGTCAGGCAACCACACTGAGAACATTTCCTTCCTTATCACCGACTCCCCTTCGGCTCCGGTGGTCTTGGGTGAACCCTGGCTATAATTACACAACCCCAATATAAACTGGCATCAGAACACAGTCTCATCCTGGAGTGAATATTGTCATGTGTCATGTTTGTTGTCTGCTTGTTCTTCTGTGTCTTTTGTTCTGTGTTTCATGATGAGCATGTGGATCTGTCAAACGTGCCTGCTGAGTATCTTGAACTGAAGGGAGTGTCCAGTAAGTCCCGGGCTGCTTCTCTTCCTCTGCATCGTCCTTATGATTGTGCGATAAATTTATTGTCAGGTACGTCTCCACCTAAGGGCAGATTATAATCACTTTCCGCTCCGGAAAGGGAGGCCATGGAGACATATATTTCTGATTCTCTGGCAGCCAAGCTCATCCGTCCCTCTTCTTCTCCTGCAGGCATGGGGTTTTTCTTTGTGGAAAAGAAAAAAGGTTCCCTTCGTCCTTGTATTGACTATCGAGGGTTGAACAGCATCATGGTGAAGAATACCTATCATTTGCCGTTGATGTCTTCAGCCTTCGAGAGTCTGCAGGGTGCTTCCTTTTTCACAAAGTTGGAGCTTCGCAATGCCTATCATTTGGTTCATATAAGGGAGGGGGACGAATGGAAGAATGCTTTTAATACCTCCAGGGGGCATTTTGAGTATCTTGTTATGCCGTTTGGGCTCTCTAATGCTCCCGCGGTTTTCCAGGCACTGGTCAATGATGTGCTGAGAGATATGGTTGATCAGTTCATATATGTCTACCTGGATGACATTGATTTTTTCTCGTTCTCTCCAGGAACATGTTCAGCACGTCAGGTCAGTGCTTCAGAGGCTGCTAGAGAATGGGCTTTTTGTCAAGGCAGAGAAATGAGTTTTTCATGCACAATCTGTTCCTTTCCTAGGGTACATCATGTCGTCCGAGGGAGTATGCATGGATCCCGACAAGGTGCAGGCTGTGGTAGATTGGCCAACCCCGGATTCCCGCAAGGCCCTGCAAAGGTTTCTGGGCTTTGCCAATTTTTACAGCCATTTCATTGGCAATTATAGCCCGCCCCTTTGACTGCCTTGACCTCCACCAAAACAATGTTCAGGTGGCCAGGTGTGGCAGAAGCTGCATTTTCAAAACTAAAGAGTTGCTTTGTTTCAGCTCCCATTCTGGTGGCCCCTGATCCATCTCGTCAGTTTGTGGTGGAGGTCGACGCGTCAGAGGTGGGGGTTGGTGCGGTTCTTTCCCAGCGTTCTTCCGCGGATGGTAAGGTGCATCCATGCGCACATTTTTCTCATGGTTTTTCTCCTGCCGAATGTAATTATGACATTGGTAATAGAGAGTTGCTGGCAGTCAAGCTGGCTTTGGAAGAATGGCGTCATTGGTTGGAGGGTTCGGAGGAACCTTTTATAGTCTGGATCGCCCATAAGAACCTGGAGTACATCAGGTCTGCTAATAGGTTAAATTCTAGGCAGGCTCGGTGGGCCTTATTTTTCGGTCGCTTTCATTTTTCAATTTCTTATCATCCAGGTTCTAAGAACATTAAACCTGATGCATTGTCCCGCAATTTTGACAGATCTGAACGCCCGTTGTCTCCCGAATCCATCCTGCCACAGAACATCGTGGTGTCGGCTATGACTTGGGAGATCGAATCGAAGGTCCGTAGGGCCTTACACCAGGGTTAACGCCTCCGCCAGAAGGATTATGGTCCGATGTCATCCGTTGGGGTCATTCTTCCAAAGTAGCCTGTCATCTGGGGGTTAGTCAAACAGTTTTTCTCATTAAACAACGGTTCTGGTGGCAATCTATGGCCCGTGACATACAACATTTTGTTTTGGCCTGCTCTGTCTGTGCCACTTCTAAGGCTTCCAATCAACCCCCAGCTGGACTCCTTCAACCACTGGCTGTTCCTTCGAGACCCTGGTCTATCATTTTGCTAGATTTCGTGACGGGACTCCCGGCGTCTCAGGGTAACACGGTAGTTTTGACCGTGGTGAACCGGTTCTCGAAGGCAACTCATTTTATTCCTCTGCCCAAAATACCCTCATTGATCACGTCTTTCGTATTCATGGCCTCCCGGTGGATGTGGTCTCTGACAAGGGGCCTCAGTTTGTTTCCAAATTTTGGAAAGCATTTTGTTATTTGTTAGGGGCAACTGTTAGTCTTTCTTCTGGGTTCCATCCCCAGACTAATGGTCAAACAGAGAGGGCCAACCAAGATTTGGAACGTGTGTTGCGGTGCTTGGTGTCTCAGAACCCATCCTCTTGGAGTCTGCAACTTTCGTGGGTGGAGTACGCACTCAATTCCTTACCAGTGTCATCTACGGGCCTATCTCCGTTTGAGTGTAGCATAGGTTACCAGCCACCTATTTTTCAGAGTATGGAATCTGAAGTCGCGGTCCCCTCTGCCCACGCCTTTGTCCAGAGGTGCCACCGCACCTGGAAGAGGGCTAGAGAAGCCATCCTCCGGGTGGGGTCGCGCACCAAGGCACAGGCCGATCGCCACCGGTCAAAGCTTCCCATCTACGTCGTTGGTCAAAAAGTGTGGCTTTCATCTAAGAATAATCCTCTCCGTACCGTCTGTAATAAGCTTCCTCACAAATTTATTGGCCCGTTTACTGTCACCAAGATTATTAGTCTGGTGGCAGTCCGCCTCAAACGTCCTCCTGTGTACAGGAGAGTTCATTCCGTCTTCCATGTCTCCAAATTAAAGCCAGTTTTTCGTTCAACCATTAATCTGCCTGCCTCAGTTTCCCCACCGCCGCGACTTGTAGATGGGGATCTCACTTATTCGGTAAAATGCATTCTGGACTCGAGGCAGAGGGGACGCACGCGGATTTCAGTACCTGGTGGACTGGGAGGGTTACGGTCCGGAGGAGAGGAGTTGGGTTCCTGCTAGGGACATATTGGATCATTCGCTTATAGGAGAGTTCATTCCGTCTTCCATGTCTCTAAATTAAAGCCAGTTTTTCGTTCTACTATTAATCCGCCTGCCCCAGTTCCCCCACCGCCGCGACTCGTAGATGGGAAACTCACTTATTCGGTAAAACGCATTCTGGACTCAAGGCGGAGGGGATGCGGATTTCAGTACCTGGTGGACTGGGAGGGTTACGGTCCGGAGGAGAGGAGTTGGGTTCCTGCTAGGGACATATTGGATCATTCGCTTATCGATGATTACAATCGATGGGTAGGTTCCTCTGGAAGTGCCAGGAGGCGCTCCTAGGGGGAGGGGTACTGTCACGGTTCATGGATTCGTGTGTTCATTGCTGTGTGCCTGTGTATTGTTACTTGTCTGATTGCTCGTTCAGCGTTGCTCCGGCAACCGCGGTGCTGACGAGCTGATCAACTCTGCACCTGCCGCTCATTCTGTCCTGTCTTTATCTGTCTCGTGTGTTGTACTGCATGTTGTCAGATCGTTGTTTGTGCTTGCTCATGCTGCCTCTGATTATTTCCAGTGTGGGAAACCATCGAAGTCTCGCTGGATTCCACTGCCCTTGCTGGATCGGGTCAGGGTTTCGCAATCCCTGTGTGTTCACGTCTACTCACCTGAATCCTCACGTTTGGTTTGCGATCCAGTTGACTATTTATTGTCACAATAAATCACTTCACTTCCAACTGGATTCTGAGTTATCTATCCGTAACAATTCTACTCCTACATTATGATGACATGCAGCTGTAAGTGATATAAGAGATTTGTTCTCTCCTCTCCTGAATTAATTTCTGAGTTAAAAATCTGTCTTGTTACTGTGCTAACAACCAAGAATTTCCCAGATCCAGTGAAGACGGGCCATCATTAAGGTCCTCTATAGCAGTGGTTCTCAACTGGGGTCCTGGGGACCCACTGATCTGCATATCTTGTATTTCTTATTTGTATGCCTTAGTTAACATTCTTGATTCAGATCATCAGCTCGTTAAGAGAGATCTTTTTAAGACCGTGTGTAACATAAGGGAGACATATAGGCAGTGTTGTATCGGTTTAAAAATCATATATCATAACATCATAAATCATAGCATTTTACAAGGAACTACTTCACAATATTTTGTGTAATAATTTATAATCTGCCCCTGTAACCATATTTTGTGTAAAAATAATAAAAGTTGTCTGTTTTACTGCACAACTGTTCATTTCATCTGGAAACCACAGTAAACTGTATGTGTAGGTATATGTATTGAATTTTGCAAATGTAGGTAAAGGTATATTTTTCCAATAAGCCTATGTCGAAATATAGATAGGAGAGGGACAAATTTAGAGAGAGTACCATCGCATGTGCTCATGTATGACTAAATCTTTGTTATTTTTTGTTTTTTTACACTAAAGCAAAGTCTGCCTGAATGGACTGTAAATATTCATTAAAAACTGAATTTCCTGTGGAACCACCACCTTGCTTTATTACTTTGGAATTCTTCACAATTACAGTGCATTTGCCACTTGCAGATGTTTAATTGACCTTATGACATTAGCGATCAAATTTTCTTGGATCTTTTGACATATAAGAGGCTGTTGTACTACAAACAATACTTGCAGTTTAAGTTTCAGAGCTCAAAAATTCCTCCTCCTCACAATAAAAGCATTTTATTACCATAATGACGTATCTACTTTCTCCACATTGTGGTAGACATTTGTATCAGAACACCTCCACAATAGCATAGCTCCTTAATCCTTCCATAACCTTCTCAGCGGAGGTGAGCAGCGAGGTGAGATGTCAGACACATTAACACTGGCTGTGACACTGCACCAAAACAAAGCTTTTCCAACAAAAGGGAATATGATCATGTTTTTGTGCTTACAACATTACTAACATTATAAGTGAACCTCAAAGAACCTTAAATTAAATTATTAGTTCAAAAAGCACAGGTAGCAAACATTTAACAATAGTAAATGGAAGGTATGAAAGAAGAGAAAGTTTCACTTACTCGTGGTACAGTTTATCCTGTCACAGTCTAGATGGGGAAGAATAAATGACATGTAAATTTAGCCTTCAAAGAAACATCTGCAGATATTGAAGCACATAACCCACTTCTCTGGGGACAGACACACAAGAACACCAATGATCCTGATGCTCGTGCATGCCATCGCATTCACCCAAATGTCCTGCTGTGAATTTGGACTCTTTCTAGGAATATTGTACAAATATTACTCCTATATTTTTTAAGCCAATTAGGCAGCATTTAAGTGTCACTTTCCACAAATAGAGTAAAAATAGGGTCTAGAATACTTTTTCTTTTACTTTCATCAAATGGTCACTGAAAGGGTTTTAACCCTCAAAAAATCCAGTTTATCTATATATGTACAGATTTGATTACTAACGGAAATGTATTTGACTACGAATGGAAATGCCAAAGCATCATACCATTGGTCAGGCTGTGACAATGACTAGTAAACTGCCTAGTAATCCATATTTATGTGCTATTGGCAGTAACACTTTATAATAACGTTCAGTTGTAAGTCATTTATAAGTTATTAGTTAATGATTAACTAATAATTTACAAAACATGACTATACGTTCACAAATGATTATTAATTAATATGCTAAGGATTTACAAATCTGTCGTAAGTTATCTTAAAAAATAGCATCATGAAATAATCAAACAGATCCTTAGTAAATGGTTAATAGCTACTAGTTCATATAATATTAATCACTTATTAAATCATTGAAATGTCAACATTGTACTATTATCTTAATAAACATCTGTTAATCATGATCAAACATAAATGACAAACATACATGAATTATATACTGATCATTTACTAATGGTTTAATCATAATTTGATCATGATTAACAAATGTTTATTGAGATAATAGTACAATGTTGACATTTCAATGATTTAATAAGTGATTAATATTATATTAACTAGTAACTATTAACCATTTACTAAGGATCTGTTTGATTATTTCATGATGCTATTTTTTAAGATAACTTACGACAGATTTGTAAATCCTTAGCATATTAATTAATAATCATTTGTGAACGTATAGTCATGTTTTGTAAATTATTAGTTCATCAACTAATTACTTATAAATGAATTAACAAAACATACACAATTTGTTAGCATATCACTTACTAATTGCTTATGAATGTTTTGTAAATGATTAGTTTATAAATAACTAATCACTTATAAATGACTTACAACTGAATGTTATGATAAAGTGTTACCCTGTAAGCACCTGGTTACATTAAGTTGAATTGTGGGTGGTTCATAAATTAGATGCAGACTTTTCGCAATGAAACAAAGTAAATTCCTTGATTAAAAGGTATGGAAGGATATCAGTTATGAGTTATACATTATCAAGAAAATCAGTTTCCACTGAAATCACTATGCCTGTTTTTAGGTAGTGATTTATTGAGATATTTCATCCAAGTTCACCAGAAGCAGGGTCTCAGCCTAGTGTGCCATCAACCTCAGCAAAGAAGGGGCTGCACGCAGTCAAAACACCAGAGCTGGCTCATCATGCGAGGAAATGCTCTTACTAAAGTAACACTGTTATTAATTCAATAACAATAAAAATGGACTTATATTGACTTCTGTTGTATTTCTCAAAATATCTTCTTTTGTGTTCCACAAAAGAAAAAAAGAGTACATTATGACAGATTTTTTGGTTGAACTATACAACTTCTAAAGCTCTGGCATACATGAAGTTCTTCTTCATTCTTTGCTCAGAGGTAAAAAGAAGTTTGAAAAACCTGAGTAACGGTATAGTGTTTGCATATATTTGGACACCTTCCACAGTTCTGTTTTAGAGACGCATTTAAATATGCAATACTGTGACAATTCACTGAGCAAATTACTGGCTCAGGTGTGTTTGATTAGGATTGCAACTGAATTTTGCAGTGAGCTTGATCTCCAGGAACAGGATCGGGCATCCCTTCTGTATTCTGACGTGCACCTCTTAAACCAGCCTGCAAACAGCCACGTAGTTCACAGCATAGAGGCTACAGTCTAGGTCAGACGCAGCAGTATAAATCAGCCGTTAGACATGGTAAAAATCTGTGGATAGCTACAGTGCACAGCTTTCCCCTGTGAATGTATTAATCAAAGTGAAAATGAGAGGGCACAGAGTGTTGGCTGGTTTTCAGATGGGAAGGGCAACAAAGAGGGCTGTTACACAACACAGAGCATTCCCCTTTAACAGAGAGCACAGCTGAGGTGTTTGAGTGTGTACAGAGAACTGCAGACTCTGAGCATCGAAGGCCTCCGAGCATGTCCACCATTAAGACAACAGTGGTTTTCTGTGTGATGTGCTTTGAAGAGAGGTTCAAGTGCATGACAGCACAGACAGCAAAAAAAAGGTCTTGTTTAAAGTTCATTTCTGGCTAGATATGAACAAGTCTGGGTACATTTGGTCACAGGTGTGTGATAGAATGTGTTTAGCACTGATACCTAGATTAACCATGAGCCGGACGCGACTTGTATCCAGCTCCAAACGGAGGGTGTCTGCGGAGTCTCGAGACGTGGTTGCCATGAGAACACCATATGCCCGCTGGGAGCGGAACCGTAGCGAAACATCTTCAGCCTCTGTATGCATAGCTACAGATAACTGGACCTTCATGAATTTACTGCCATCGTAACTGAGAATGGTGGCATCTGCAGATGAGAGGCAAAGATTATACTATATCAATGTCATTAATCACAATTTTAAGAAATTAAATAAAAAATTCACCTTTAAAAAAAAATAATAATAAATTTCCAGCAAAAAGTAGTTCATCAGGCCACAATGTAAGTGAAAATGAAATTCACAGCCAGCACAAATATTTGTTGTTTAATTTATTGATATAGGAAGTGAAACCGAAGCCCAGGGATCTCCAACCCTGCTCCTGAAGAGCTGCCTTTCTGATTCAAGTGTGTTTGATTGGGGTTTAAGTTGAAGGACAGTAGCGTTCCAGGAGCAGGGTTGACTACCCCTACACCTATAATGACCCGGTGTGCTGCGATCAGTTGAACAGGAGTAGTTTTCAGGACATACGCTGATCAGCCACAACATTAAAACCACCTGCCAAATATCATGTTGGTCCCCCTCTTGCTGCCAAAACAGCTCTGATGTGTTAAAGTGTGGACTCCACAATAACTCTGTGTGTGTCCTTAGGTATCTGTCCTGCAAGTTGTGAGGTGGGGCCTCCATGGATTGAATTAGTTGGTCCAGCACATCTCATAAATGCTCAATCGGATTAAGATCTGGGCAATTTGAAGGCCAAAGCAACACCTTGAACTCTTTGGGCCTGTTTACAATTGGCCACTTCATGCATTTTTTTTAATTGGATAGTTATCACAAAAAGACGAGGTATAAATACCCTCCAACAAGCACTTAAGACAGACTGCAATCCGATCACACAAACCACTTCAGAAGGTGGTTTGAAATACATTTTAGATGCAACTGGTTGTTGAAGTTACATATGTAAATTTTGCTCTTCCCAAAACTGCAAAAAATAAAGGACTGAGACCACGTTAGAGCAGCTCCTGGTAGCCAGATACCACAGCGCTACTGCAACATCCATCTCCACAGATATGGCCCGTCAGAGATGAGCATCTCTCTTCAGCAAACATGCAAACTGACACAAACAATGCACACATACCCGATCTAAAAGAAAAGGTGATTTGTTAGACCAAGCAACCTCCTTTCACTACGCTCATGTGCACAATGTAGGCGTTTGCCCATTTTGTCCTGCTTTCAACACATGAAACTGACTGTTCACTTGCTGCCTAATATATCAACCCCCTTGACAGGTGCCATTGTAACAATACAATCAATGTTATTCACTTCATCTGTGAGTAGTTTAAATGTTGTGGCTGATCCATGTATGTTTATCAAAAAAAATTAATTATTCTTTTATGAAAAAAGAAAACAATTGTATTCACTAATATGTCTCTATTTGTAGAAACTGCTGCGCACTTTAAGTTGATTTCAGTTGAAAGGCATTTGATTGTGGGTGGTACGAAACCTGTACATAACCTCAAGTACATGGATAATTATGTAAATATTATAAATAATGTTAATAATTTTGAGACTAATATCATCCAGTGGATTCAATGGCAAAATACAGATTAAAGTGTACAGAGCATGGGTGTCAGGATCCTGACACTGAAAATCAAAAACTAGACAGGAACACACAAAACGTCCTGTCCCAAGTAAAAGTTACAACAATGAAACAAGAAACCTCCATCTTAATGAAACTGCAATATAATACAAAGTTTCTGCAATATTGAAGAAATATGAAGTGATAAGCATTTAAAACAAGTGTCAGCCTCACCTCTCTCACAGGAGCGACCAAGATTGCCCGTCCCAGAGCAGTCACACATATAACGGTTCCACCCTTCCCTGCAGACTCCATTGTTTTGGCAGGGGTTACTGAGACACTGCTTAGGAGCCTCTTTACTGCAGGAGGGCTTTACGCCTGCGGCTTTCTGCACCTCAGCTATGCGGCGGATGTCTTTGCTCTGACCACTGATGAAGAAGTCACGGATGCAGCCTACATAACCATAGTTGAGCAGAGCAGTCCACACCTCAGTAGGAAACACCATTTCAGCTTTATTTTCTGGCAGTCCTCCTAGATACAAGCTATCATCCAGGTCAAGAACCTCGCTGTTTCCTGGGGCTTGGTATGGTGTGCGAATTGTGTTGATAGAGATGGTACCTGGAATTCAACAATGCCAGAGAAAAATGTGAGACTGTGCAAAGTAAATCCTGTTATGTATTAGAGAATATAAATTTATTCACAGTTGTAAACCATTATAATACACAACTCCATTGTTAGGTAAGTTTTAAAATTAGGGTTAATGTGTAAATAAATAAATACATACATACAAGAGGTACAGGTTACAACACACCACCACTTCATCAATGATTGTTTCAAATCATATAGCGACTGAAATTACATTAAATATATATTTAAACATTAGACAAGCTGTACTCTCTTACAGCTTGCATTTACATGCTAAAAAGCAAATTCACACATTCGTGATTATGTGTGACTAGACTATTGTAATGCATTACTGAGTGGATGTGCCACTGGTTTATTAAACCAACTTTGGGATGCTCATATTGACTGTTTGATGCATAGTTAAAGAAAAATATGCTATACATATTTGTTAACTCAAGGGGGCGTGTCGACACATGCAACCACGTGTACGTAATTCGCTGAGCAATTAAAAAGAAGTACGGTGTGGGACCATTTTGACAGAAAGGGTGACAAAGTGACTTGCAAAATATGCTATGTGGTATTAATAAATACAGCAGTAGTACAAATACATTGCAATATCACTTGCAAAGCAAACATCCACAAGCCCTGAGTCCTCACACCTAAACCAATTGATGCAGTGGAGACTTGGGGACTTATTGGAAAAGTATCGGCATATGTTCATGACAATGAATGGGTAACAAAGCTGCAAGATGCCAGAACCTCAGAGATGGCAGAGATTGTGGCAGTGTTGGAAACTTTAAAATGTGCAACCCTCATAATGTCAACAGATTAAAACGTGTCCGTTTCCATTTACCCCATTGCCTCCTGAACACACAGCTGATGAGAGCCAAGGATGATGACCACAGAGTGACAGAGTTCAAGGCAAAGGTTTGGCAGTACTTATTAGGGGCCAAGCACCGAAGGTGCAGTGGCACCTATTGTATCCGTTAGCATCATTTTTCTTCTTCCGCTGCAATTCTATGACAGCCCATAGAACCGCTATCGGTAAAGTTGTGAAATTTGGCACACTGATAGAGGACAGTCTCAACATTAACCACAGCAAGTTTGGAGTCTCTAACTCCAACTCTCTAGCGCCACCACTTGTCCAAAGTTGCAATTTCTTAACGCCAATAACTTTTGAACAATAAGGCACAAAAGTTTTTTTGCTATTTTTAATTGTTCGTAAAACCTACTTTTTCGAACTCGTCCTAGATGGTTTGTCTGATTCTCACCAAAATTGACTCAGATCATCTTCAGACCATGCTGGCAAAAAGTTATGGACTTCAAGTTGATTTGTCCAACCGTTCTCGAATAACGCACGAAGGAATTCTACAAAAAGCATGTAAAAATGGATGTGAGGCTATATCTCCACAATGGTGCGGCATATTGAGACCAAACTTGGTGTGTGTAATAACAAGCATGACCTGAGACTACCTGCAGTGTTTCGGCGCAGTGCCCCTTAGTGGTCAGGAGATATGAAAAATGCATATTTTTGCTTATAACAGCTGAATGGTTTGGCCAAAAATAACAAAACTGGTCTCTTTAGATTCGGTGCATCATGCCGAGTCGAACCATATCAAATTTTACCATGTCAGCCATTTTGGGGCGTCGGCCATTTTTAATTTTGTCAAAAAATGCAATATTTTAAGATCGCTTAGACTTTATTACGAAAATCGGTATGCATCTTCGGCACCATGCCCTGATGACACTCAAAGTTTGGGCACAGCGTCAACTTGTGGTCAAAAGTTATAAAGCAATTTATAAAAATGCTAATAACTTTTGCATACATTATAATATTGTAATGAGACTGATGTTTATAGATTCCTTGCGTCATGCTGAGAACATCGATACCAATTTTGCCATAATTGGCTGAACTTCCTGTCCGCCATTTGATACATGTTGAAAACCTACTTTTTCGAACTCCTCCTAGACCGTTAGTCCAATTTTCACCAAATTTGACTTGGATCATCTGCAGACCAAGCTGGCAAAAAGTTATGGATTTCGTGTTGATATACGAAATGGTTTTCGCTTAGAGCATCAACGAATTTGGTGGTTAAGATGCCAAAATGCATATGAGGCTGTATCTGCACCAAACTTTGTATGTACAATAACTACTCACACTGACCACGCCACATCAATTTGGCTGGAGTTTGTTTCAAATTAGAGGCTGTCTACAAACACCCTCTCAAATCCCTCTACAATTAACAATCTGAAGATGGATTTAATAAATGCTAGATCCATTTAAAACAAGACCTTTTTATTAAATTACTTTATTTCTTCTCGGCAACAGGACCTTTTGTTTGTGACAGAAACGTGATTTTAATTTGCATATCCACTGTCCCAAAGAGCCCATGGTGAAGGAGTTTCTACATCTTATTGATTAATTTAATTTCACACAATTTGTCTCAGGTTCTACCCACAATCTTGGTCATACTTTGGATTTGATATTATCCTTGGGTGGTCCAGTTTTGAATGTAGATATTGAGGATGCTTGTCTTTCCGATCTTAACCCAGTTGTTTTTAGTATTTCAATTTCCAGTCCCTTTTTAAATTGTAAGCCACCAGGCCGGTATGTTCATTCTTTGAAATCTTCAACGACCAGTGAGATTTCAAAGGGTTATACTTTATTTCCAGCTCTGCCTCGGTCTTTTGGTTCAGGTATAAATTATTTAGTGTCAATATTTAATTCCTCCTGTAATGTTATTATGGATTTGTGTGCTCCTTTCAAAATCATAAGTCTGAAAGCCAAACCACAGCCATGGCTTAATAATGATACCTGTAGTCTCCGACAAATGTGGAGAAAAGCAGAGAGGAAATGGAAGAAAGATAAGCTTCGGGTGTCTTATGATATATTGAAAGATGATATGATTAAGTATCAGAAGGCAGTTAAAGCTGCAAGGACAAAATATTTCTATGATCTCATAAGAAAGATACCTAATAACCCCAAAGTGTTATTTAAAACAATTGATTCAGTTTTAAACCCTGAGATAGCTACTGGTCTTGATATTAGTCAGACAACATGTGAAAAGTTTGAAAAGTTTTTTATTAACAAAATTGATATTCTTAGAGCTGGTATTCTGCCTCCAGACTATATCCTTGATTATATTATCCCATCCTCATTAGTACATTATTTAAATGAGTTTAAACCAATTTCAATACCTGATTTGGTGAACTTAGTCTGCCATATGACGCCCACTCTGTGTTCTTTGGACATTGCTCCTCCATGTCTACTTACTCAGTTATTGGACGTGGTTGGTCTAGATCTTTTGGCAATAGTGAATTCCAGTTTGCTGAGTGGTGTTGTGCCATCTTGCTTTAAGCATGCTGTGGTGCAACCTCTTTTTAAACGGTCCAATTTGGATTCATCTGATTTAAAGAACTATCGACCAATTTTAAATGGTCTTTTCAGTCAAAAATTTTAGAGAGGGTTGTCTTTCAACAGCTTTCTACTCATTTAAATGGAAATGTTTTTTTTGATAAGTTCCAGTCTGGATTTAGGGCCCAGCACAGCACAGAGTCGGCCCTTCTTAAAGAGTCTAATGATCTCCTTTTGACTGTTGATTCGGGTAAGTGTGCAATTTTAGTTTTACTTGATTTGACAGCTGCATTTGACACTATAATACATGAAATACTGATTGAGTGTTTAAGACTGTGGGCTAGGATTCAAGGTCATGTTCTTAACTGGTTTAGTTCATATCGGTCAGGGAGAACATTTTCTGTTGAATTAGGACATTTCTCATCCTCTTCTGTTCTGATGAGGTGTGGGGTTACCCAAGGATCAATATTGGGTCCAGTGTTATTTTCTATTTACATGCTTCCTTTGGCTGTTATCTGTCAGAAACAATGTATGTTATCATCTTTATGTTGATGATACGTAGCTTTATCTGCCTATAAAAATGGGGGATTATTCGGCCTTACAGTCTCTTTTTGCATGTTTTAATGATATTAAGGAATGGATGGCAGCACATTTTCTTCACTTGAATGAATCAAAGACCGAAGTGATAGTGTTTGGCCCTCCGAGTGTTTCTGAACCCATAATTAATCAATTAGGTTAATTTAAACCTAAGGTACATAATCATGCAAAGAGTCTTGGAGTCATTTTTGACGCAGAGTTAAAGTTTGATAAGCACATTAATTCTATGGTTAGAGGTGGTTTTTACCAATTAAGGAATAAAGCAAAAGTGAAACCTTTTCTGTCTTCTAATGATTTGGAAGTTGTTATCCATGCTTTTATCATGTTCAGACTGGACTATTGTAATTCCTTGTACTATGGTGTTTCTCAGGCATCGATTTCAAGTCTGCAGCTGTTTCAAAATGCAGCTGCTAGGCTTTTAACTGGGACTAGAAAATGTGTAAGTATAACACCTGTATTAGCTTCCCTTCATTGGCTTCCAGTTAAATTTAGGATTCAGTATAAGTTATTATTATTATTTGTTTTTAAAGGTTTAAATGGATTGGCACTAAGTTATATTAGTGAACTTCTTCAGCAGCATACATCTTGCAGGCCCTTATGATCTACACAAAGACTCCAGCTAGTTGTTAGTTTGATAAGCACATTAATTCTATGGTTAGAGGTGGTTTTTACCAATTAAGGAATAAAGCAAAAGTGAAACCTTTTCTGTCTTTTAATGATTTGGAAGTTGTTATCCATGCTTTTATCATGTTCAGACTGGACTATTGTAATTCCTTGTACTATGGTGTTTCTCAGGCATCGATTTCAAGTCTGCAGCTGTTTCAAAATGCAGCTGCTAGGCTTTTAACTGGGACTATAAAATGTGTAAGTATAACACCTGTATTAGCTTCCCTTCATTGGCTTCCAGTTAAATTTAGGATTCAGTATAAGTTATTATTATTATTTGTTTTTAAAGGTTTAAATGGATTGGCACTAAGTTATATTAGTGAACTTCTTCAGCAGCATACATCTTGCAGGCCCTTATGATCTACACAAAGACTCC